AGTTGACATTCATTGAATTTGAAAAAGTTTGTGATGAAGTCAAACTCGAGCTCATTGCCTTAGATACATCAGTAATGTTGAATGTCATAGCTAGTTTCAATGACATGGCTCTGATACCAAGTTAAAGCTTAGAGACAAGAGAAAGACAGAATTCTAAAAAGAATAAGTCAAAAAATATCTCATTTATTCAAGTGTACGAAGGTATTATATACAAAACAATGACAAATAACTTTGGAAGATAAATATAAAGATAGAAATATGTAAACAAGGTAATACCCAACTAAGTAACTTCCTAAGGAGAATATTTCCTCTTTAACCTAGCTGGTCTCTCTATAATAACTACTCTATCTTTAATAGGACTTCTCTCTATAGTAACCACTCTATCTTTAGTAGGAGCTCTCTCTATAGTAACCACTCTATCTTTAGTAGAAGAGCTGGAGCTGGTCGATTCCTCAATACACCAGGAGGAGTGATAGCTTGAGCTTTTGCACTTAAATAAACTTCACTCCCTTATGTAATCCACTTTCATTAGCATGTCCCATAGGGAGTCTTGTTCTCATAGTAATCTCCAGAATTGCTTGGCCAAGAGAGCAAGACTGAGAGAAAGATTCAACTCTCTTAATCATCTTAGGCTTAGTCCCCCTTGTTTCTTTGGTCTGCAAATCTCGTCCCACGAGATGTTTGGGTGATATTTATCTCTGTTTTTCCACCAGAAGTTCCTTTCTAGTTTTTCTAGCTTATTATACTTTCAATCAAAGTTGTCCTCCCTACCTTGGATAATACTTTAGCTTGCCAACCCTCCATTCTTCTCTCCATTTTCTATAGGAGTTCTTTGTAAGTGAGTGAATTTTTCCTTTCTATATTCAGTTTGGTCCAAGGTTTTTAAAACCGACCCGGAGAACAAACCGGTTAGGGGTCCGGTTCCCGGGTCGAACTGTCAGCCCGTTCTGACAAAAAAATTAAAAAACGGTCAAAACCATTCGAACGGTTAACCAGCCCGGAGAACAAATCGATCAGGGGTCCAGTTCTTGGGTCAAACGGTCGGCCCGTTTTGACAAAAAAATAAAAAATTATAAAACGGTCAAAACCGTTTGAACGATCCGAATGATTAACTGCCCGGGTCAGTGGTTTGCTGACCAAAATCAACGGTTTTTGAAGAAAATCTAGTTTTAGGGGAAAATGGAGCCGGTCACCAGACCGATTCCCTTTTCCGGTCTGGTTTTGAAAATCATGGTTTGGTCCCAAGGTATTATTGCACCCAAGTCCATGGGCTTTATGTTGATGGCTTTGGGTAGCAGTCTTCGATGGAGCCTTGGAATGTTACTGCTAAAGAGGATCCCGAGAGGTCCTCAAAGATTGCTACTACCGCCATTAGGTTTTGAAGAGAGTTGATATCAGTGTAGTATACTTGTGGAGAAGCAACTCAAGTTACCTTTACCTATTCACATGTCCTTCCCTGTCTTGGAGTCTAAGCCTGTTGAGCCTACTCTGTGTCTACTCCCGTTGCCATGAGGACCAACACATATCTTAAAATGTGGAACAACCTAAAGCAATGCAACCCTTTGCCAATGGATTCTCATGATCGGGGCATACTTGAAGGGTAACATGTCCATCTTGAAATAACTTACCTCCTTTTGTCGTGTTTACATGAAAACCATATCTGGTGTTTCCCTTATTATAAGAATGTTGCAGAGTCCTTGGAACTACCTGAGCTGAAAAATGCAATGATGGAGGAAATTGGTGCCTTTTAGAAAACTGCACATAGGAACAGTTGAGGCATCTGATTTTCTTCAATTTAGATTTGTTACAGAATGGAGCAAATATTTGGAAGAGGAGGCCAAAATCATGAAGGATGTAACTGGCTGGAAAGTTGGTGAATGTGTCTACCATTCTGTGAGATGGATGCCCCTAGCAACTACTAATGGAAGAGGCCTACAGAAATATGCTAAAATAGGTTAATGATGGATGTTTTAGAAATCTCTCAATCTTTCATTGTTTTTAGGTGATTTAACTATTTATGATATTTTTGTTAATTAATTTTTAAACTGTTATTTGTTTATAGGATGGGTTGGGCCCACATTAGCATTGAAATATTAGGCCCACCTTGGCCCTTAAATTTGTGGGCTTGATGGGGCCTGGGCCTGGGCTGGATTAAAATGATCACCCCTAAGCGTAAATTGGTTTTGGTTTATTATATTAATGAGGAGAGGAGAGAATAAAATAAAAATAAAAAATGGAAAAAAAAAAGCAACTTAATGGAGTATTTTAGAGGAAAGAGAGAATTAGTGGAATGAGTTACTGGAGGAGAGAGAGTTAATGTAATTATTGAGGAGAGATAATTAAAGGAGTTAATGAGAAAGAGAAAAGAGAGATAACGTGGGCCCAAAATAGATAAATGGTAGAGGAGATGAAAGTCTTAAACACTTAACATTGATTGACTACTTGAATAATTTTGTTAAATTTTAAAAATAAAAATTCATTAAAAAACACAAAATAGATAAATGGTAGGGGAGAAAGGAGTCATGCTGACATGGAACGTCTTGTTTTATTATATATAGATACATTTTTTACATATAAGTTAAAAAATAATTAATTTTTTTCTTTACTTTAATGACAATAGAGTAGAATCATATTAATCCGAATGAGCTCAAATCAGCCCCCCACAATGTCTCATAGTACATCCCCGCTGTGTATTGGGAACATCTCCCAATGATAATATCATAAATGATGATGTCATCATCAGGAGATGTTTCCAATACACGTCGGGGATGTACTGTGGGACGTTGTGAGGGGCTGATTTGATCTCAATCTGAATCCAACCCAAGCCCAATATTTTAGATTTTGGATCACATTTGAATTTCAAATTTCAATAATTGGATATAACTGGATCCGATCCAAATCTCACCTATTTATATCCCTAATAGTGAGAACCAAATCTCATTTGGTTCACTTCCAAAAGCCCATGTACCAAGACAAGAAATGATTGGGATGGTGTCTGGTTGCACCCAACGTTTAAGATCAACATAAAAAGCCTAATACGGGGCATATCATATTCGTAAGTGGAAAACAATACGACATGCATGGTCATAGAGCTATGGTGGCAATCACAAGACTCACAACCACTATTATAACCTTAAGTGGTCGTGACCACAGACATAGCTCCATGACCACCATCATAGGTCAAAACAATGCTGATTCTTCTGAACTTGACAATTACTATAGGTTGTCCCAATAATTTACAGAAAATTAAAAAAAAAATAAGTATAAATAATTTTTTATTTGCTTTAAATGATTTACATTGCAAGAAGGAACTATAAATAGATTTATCAATGATGTTTTAAGCTCATTGATATAACAATAATTTGTAAAAAATATATTTTTCTTAAATCTTTAGAAATATTTTGAAAATTATAAAACTAAACAATTTCATGGTAAGGAAGAACTATAAGATAGATCTATCAAACTCATTGATCCAACAATAATTTAATGTGACTTATAATGAGCCTTTAGTAAATTGGAAGCTCAAACATTATTTGATGTATTATTAGTAAAATTATTGTTTGCTATGCATATGTTTTAAACTCCTGGCATTGTTCATTGTAACAAATTTTTTCATACAAGTTCAAACATTTCTTGTGTTTATGAATTTTTCATATTCAAACTTAGATTTATTATTATTTTAGTATTGTGGGATTTGTAAAAGTTTTCCTAATGCAAGTGTACTCATTTCTTTCCACTATATTATCCAAAGCATACCATGATGTGTATCCATATCCAAACTTACCAATAAGATCAACCATATTGGTGATACTTTGAAAATTGATATGTATCCATATCCATATCCATGTTGCCCGCCTAGGCAACAAGGTGCCCTTTGAGGCTTGTCTCACCTAATCACCAAGCAGTTTTTTACTTCCTATTATAAAATACTTTTTTGTTCATTCTTTTTTGAGATTATAATTATAAAATAAACATTATTAAACTAAAATAATCATTTTGTGTATATACTAATTCCTTTTTATTGTCTTCTTATTTATTAGGGTTTAATCAACACAAACATTGCTAAATGCTATATTTTAGCATTTATCAATGCATATATTCTTCTTCCATAAGGAAGAACGTAAAATTTTATCTAGTCAGCACATTTTATTCTTTCATATATTCTTCTTCTTCTACCATTACTTTTTCTCTTCTTCTTTTCCTATAACAAAAATAAGGGTTCATCCCCTATATTTTTTGAATTTTATTTTCTTTTTTTTTCTTCTCATGAATATGTTTGATTTTCTATACTTTAATATGAACTTTATACTGTTCATATGAAAATTATGAATAATTATTAAGGAAATATGGTTATGGTACCTAGGGAACTACCCTAGGATCTATGTTTTTAACATTAAAAAAATAAAATCTATCACCTAGGTGACACCTAGGCAACAAGGCACCCCCCCTTATCACCTAGCCTCACCTTGGCACCTTGAAAACTATGGGAAGTAGACAGGACTATTTATTGCCCAAATACATCATGCCCAAAAGTCACTCTGCACCTGGGCAAAAGGCAAATGATTGATCTTAAGGTTCAATTTGGAAAGATTACAAATACAAATATGTACAGTGCAAATATATAGAAAATACAAGGTTTTGCGCTCTACATATTTGTATTTGTACTCCTTCCAAATTGAGCCCAAAGTGAAATCATGGGTGACATACCATTGAGAGCCTACAGATTCCGCTCACGCCTCCTAAATGGAGAGAAGGGACTCGGGGAGTGCCATGCGACCATCTAATCTATCTACTGGTCATCAAATAAAATATAGAATCTCTATTTTGCTGCTCCCTCAAGGAACTCAAAACAATTTAAATCAAAAACTGAAGGGAAAATGTTTAGAATAATTTTCATCTGAACAAACTTGTACACTTATGAACTATATAAATTGTAACTTTAGAGCAGTAGGTTTCAAGTCATAATAACAAACCATATATTTTATAAACTCTAAAATTTTCCATTCCAGCATTCATAAAATTCCAATTTACAATTAGTGAACCCTCAATTTAAAAGAAAACAAAAATCAAAAGTAATTAGGAATACTAAAACGCCTATGACAATTATGCGAAGGAAATTTACAACCAATTCAACTGCAGTAATAGCTACTTAACTAATGAAAAAAAAAAGGAAACCAAAACCGAAAAAACATAATGGTTCTTCATACAAAGAAAAGAGACTTCAATCCAGTGTAAATTCTTGCATAGACTTGGGGTCATAAAGAATGTCATATGGTCTGTTGGCTAGGCTGTCTTTCAAGATTGTTATCTGACCTTCTTTGAGAAGAATGTCTTCTTCTAGGGCTTCAATCTTCTTCTTCAACAAGTTAACCTCAGCATCCAGTAACATGTTCATCTCCCTGAACTGCTTTACTTCCTCCAACATCGAATCTCTCTCCTCAGAAATTTTCGGCAGTATCCCTCTTGTGATCTTTACCTCCTTTGTACATTCATGCAGATCACATTTAAGCTGGTTTATGTTCTCATCCTTTTCCAATATCTGTCAAAAGTTAGATGATTAGTTATAAAAAAGCAATAAACAATGATAAGTCAATCATATTATCCTAGTTCAAGCAATAAATGACTTTTTTCTAATAAAATCATATTAACGTAGGTAAAAGGAATTTATAACCACAAGTTCAGATTTATACTTGAAGAGCAAGAACCCTGACATGATGCGTATGCTAGGAGTTCGAAGATTAGGAAGTGTTTCTGAAATTAAACTAGTCATTTTTGAAAAAAAAAAAATCAATGTTGTGGGGACCATTCATTTTATTTTACCTTTCTGCAGTAAATATCTAATCATGGTGTATAGAACACTGATGTGGACCCCATTGTGTCCGTACAGTTAGTGGTTATGTTAGTTATTTCAGTTTATTAGTTAGTAGTGATTTCAGACTTATATTATTGATTTGTTTTATTCTTTTTTGCCATGTAAGCAATAAGAGCAATTCAGCCCTTTTGCATTTATTTGGATGTGAATATAAATACAACTAGAGGGGCGGGAATTGCTAGTTTTCTCACTTCTTTTCTGAACCCAATCTTCAAATCCTCCTCCTCTCCTCTTCTCTTCTCTCCTCTTCTCTCCTTCTCTTCTATCTTTGTTTGGCTTTTCTCATCAAATATTTAAAATATATTGTAGTCTTGTTCGACTACTTGGTATCAGAGCACTCGATCTAGGGTTTCTCATGTGGATTTAATTCAGCCGACCACATGAGAATTATTTAGGGCTGGAAGTTTAGAAAGATCTTTCCTTTCGGCTGATTCTTGGAGGTTACAAGAAGGCTTTAGCAGCTGTCCAAGGATTGGAGAGTGCTCCTTATAATCAGGAAGCATCAGACAAGAATTGAGTGATCAAGATTAGTTCTTTGATCAAGATTGGAGGTACCAATCATTTTTTTCTTGGTTCTTTGGACAAGATTCAAGGTGCCGACAGCAGTTGATTGATCAAGTTTGAGGACTGAAGGTAACAATCAGTTTTCTGGGCAAGTTCATTCTTTTCTTGAGGCCAGCAGTAGTAAGAGACAAGTTGGCATTCTGCTCTTCATAAAAGCAATCAGTTTTCTGGGCAAATTCCTTCTTTTCTTGAGGCCGGCAGCAGTAAGAGATAAATTGGCATTCTGTTCTTCATAAAGACAGTAGTTGGTTCTTTCTTGCTCTTTGGAAGGTCCAGAAGAGCTGTTATTTGTTTCTGGGTAACTGCAGAACCTAAATCATTGTCCTAGGTCGGCTGTTATCAGTCTTGGGGTGCAGTTTTTCTTATTACAGTGATTTAAAGCCTTTTTCTTAATCAACTCCTAACCTGGAATGGAGTTCAAGAACCAAGGGGAAGGTGTTTTTGGGACTGGTGGTTCAGGTAATATGACTGAGAACACCTTTCAGATTGCAACTGTTAAGTTTGATGGATCAAACTACTTAGAATGGGCCATCAGCCATGATGGCCATTRRGGGTAGAGGAAAACTGAACTTCTTGTTGGGGGATGTGAAGGAACCAACCGAGGACCCTACTTATGCTAAGTGGGTTCAGGAGAATTATTTGGTGATGACATGGCTGTGCAACTCTATGCAGCCACACATCAGTTGAAACTACTTGTGGGCCAAAACAGCTAAGGAAATATGAAATGTTATGAAGGAAACCTACTCTCGGCCCCTTAGTGTTGCTAGGGCTTATGAACTGAAATGTGAGGTTAAAAATCTCAGGCAAGGAGAGAAACAGGTGTCTGTTTATTTTTCAACCTTGAAATCCCTTTGGCATGAAATTGACCATTTTAAAACAATTGAATGGGAGTAAGAAAGATGCACAAACTTACAGAAAGCAGGTTGAAACTAATAGAGTGTTTGAGTTCATGACTGATCTGAATTCTGAATATGATATTGTGATACAGTAGTTGTTGGCAAGAGACAGTGTGACTTTATCACAAGCCTATTCCCTAGTGCACAGTGAAGAAACTAGGAGAAAGGTTATGTTGCAGCAACAGCCCTTCAAATCAGCCTTGGCAATAGTTACCTAAATCTGGGGGTGATAAGGAGAAGGATGTGAAGAAGGAAGCCAAGAAGGACCTAGTATGTGAATACTGCAAGAAACCTAAACATACTAAGGACACCTGTTGGAAACCACACCCTCATCTAGTTCTAGCAAAACTCAAAAATAAGAAAGGGAATGCTAATATGGCTGTCAACACTGATAGTACAACCTCATYAGGCACAAGAGGCACTCCTCTAGATACCCTAGTTGCAGTCTGAGCTGCTCTGACTCAGCTAGAAAATGTAGTTAGTAATTTAGCTAACCAGCCACTAGACCTATTCATGGGCTGGGCCGGGCCGGGCTCGAGCCGGGCTTTTACTCTTCTTTAACAAAAATATGTTAGGCCCGAGCCCGAGCCTGGCCCGAGCCCGGCCCGACCAATGGGCCTACAACTTGGGCCCGAGCCCGGCCCTAATAAAAAGCCCGAAGCCCGACCTAATAAAAAAAATTAGAAATTTTCCCTATTCAATAATCAATATAAATCAGAATTTATTTACATTAAAAAAAGT